CCATGAAATTCACATAAATTATATGAGAATGTCAATACAGTACACTCGTATAATTTAGTTTACAGCTAAAACATGTTTAAGAGTGGGGTACTTCTTTAATCCTGGGATGGTTTATGTAATTAGTGCCTTCTGGAGACACCCGGGGCTGGTGTTCTCAGATTAAAAATCTGTTACTCCTCTCTCTCTCTCTCTCTCTCTCTCTCCCCCCTTACCCCTTTGGTGATACAGCAGACTTAGTTCCTCTGGTTTTCCTTTGCTTATGTCATGCTTTGTAAAACATTCACACACCACACTTACCCACCACACACACCTTCACCCTACTTTAATTCACATCCCATGCTTTGTGATCTTTTGTTATGCCTACATATCAGTTACTTTTTGTTAAATCAATTACTTGGTTTAATCTTTGAAATTGTGTGTCTCTCACATTTGTCATGGCCCAAAAGCCAGGTTGTGACAACAGGCTCGTACTCCTTATCAGCAAACTCCAGTTATTTCTACCCAAATACAGCGGTGCCGTCAGACGGAGCTATCACCATGGTGATCAGGAAGATGTGAAGTGAGCAGCAAGGCTTTGAGAGGTGGTCTTGACTTCACAAACACACACACACACACACACACAAACACACACACACACACTGAGCTTTTTATCTGTTTTACACATAATATAATCGTAGTGCTCTCACATTAACACACTATACTATAGTACTCCCATAAAAACACAACAGTACCTTTACACACCACATATACCTATATTTTGTCCCCTACACACACACACACACACACACACACACACACACACACACAAATACACTGAGAACACCAAGGACACTTTTTTCCAAAAGCACACACAGACTTTCACACTCACAAAGCAACCTTGCAGCCACCCAGGCACTCACCTTCACACACACATACTTCACAACCGAAATCTACCAGGTAGCCTCCAGTCAATGTATATGCATCGAGATTTGCTCTCACACATATGCACACACACTGATATTCTCAGATAGATGAATGGTGATGTGTTGTATGCTGCTCAAGGTGAACACTGAGTAAACTAACCTCTGGCTCCAGGAAGATAAACCATTTAATCTAGTCACGTCAGGATCACACCAACATGCTGCATACTAAAAAGAAGGGGCAGTTCACACTCATCTGCCCTGCAGTTCACACATACATGGGCTGAGCAGCTCTATTAGCAGTTTATGATGAGGAAAATTGACTGATTAAGTTTTGTTGGGGTTTTTTTCAAAGAATTTTCTCCGAAAGACATTTCAGTGAATTTATTGCCATAGCCAGATGTCTTTGACACAAAATAGTCTCATCCAAGTTAATGAGACAGTAAATCTTGGTCTTCATCAAGATAATGACCAAAATTATAAGGATGTTGCTATAATATTCATATGATACATTAAAGCAGCAAAATGCCTCATGTGCTTCATCCAAATGACTCTTTGGTGTATGAAGATCCATGTTTTCTGTTTTTTCTTAATACTAACAAGCTAAAAACTCAAATTAAATGACTTATACAACAATAGAATCACTGACAAGCCAATAAAATCCCATTTCAGGACAGTGTAATAAATCACGACAACTCAAAACAGATCGATATATAAATGTAATTCAGCTACGTATATATATAAAATCTGTTGTTATGCAGAAAGTGACTAAAAGAGTTGCAGTAAAGGTATAAGTACAACGGAAATATTGTGTACAGTAGGTGGCATGAACCGAATTATGCACAAGTTCAAAAACATAAAATAGATTCATATGCTTCCAAATGAGCTGGTATAAACTCCACTGCTGGCTTCATTACAGTCACTAGCTGAAAGATGTGCTATGAGAGAGTAGAATTATGGCATCTAAAATCTGGAGAATACTCTGTACTGCAGTTACCGAACACCAGAAGATGCCAAGTACCAACACAGGAAAAAACTGTAAGAAAAAATAACTGTTATGGAAATGTAACCTCCTGTTATGTCTAGTCTGTCCAATGTACGATGTTCTGCCAACATATTTTTACATCCTCTTAAAAGAAAGAACCATGGAAGGTTTTAGTCACAGCACAATTTCTAAGAGACAGAGCTGCTCAGGCTGAAAAATCTCATTGACTGAGGTAAAATGGTCACAATTCATGGCCAAATAACATTCATACCTCTGTGAAAAATTGAGAGAGGTGGTAGTATTGTAAAGCCCTCTTAGTACAAAGCTAAATTCAATGTAAGCAACTATGTCAAAAGATTCAAGTGGGATTCCTGCTGATTTTTTTTAAGAATTAACTACCGGTGATTCATGGTTTTGTAATTTAATAAAATGAGTTCATGAGTTTTGATGCACCCCAATTATTTAAAATAATAGCAATGCTTATGAAAACAGTCAACCTTGACACCAGTGTTTTGTCACTAAACATAAAGTTGAAATGTAAAAAACAGAAAACACTAATATAAGAAACAAAACATTTTTGTTGTCAGCTGCCTACCAAAGTTTCCTTATGATTTAAACTGCTTGATTTAAACCACCTGAAGGTCCATGCCCATTCTTTCTTGTGGACACAACCTCTCAAGTCCCACTTGAAAGGTACCACTTGTTTAGCCTTTTAAAGCAAAGTAACTATCATCAGGTATTACTGCAAACAGAAATTTCAACCATGAATGAAGTGAATGAAGTAGACTCACAATCAGGCATACTGCAGGTGCTCACTACATAAACCTTTAGAACATTGTGCTTTGTAAAAAAACAGATGAAGCAGATGATCAGCATCAAGAGATTAACAAAGAGAGTTTAAACGTGCAGCTGGCAGTGTTGGTATGGAAGAACATTTATCATTCCAAGTAATTAAGCTGCCTCTATCCTGACTGCCAGATGAGCTTAGATGTATGTTTGATCAGGTTTAGGTCCTTATTACACTTCTGCTGATTGCCGCCATGTTCTCAACAGAAAGTGAAACACATTTTAGTGCTTGCAGGAGACTTGAAATGTATATTTCACAGCTTCAAGCCATCTCAATCCAGTAACATCAAAACCTAATGACACTGATCTAAGATCTGCCTGTTGACAGTTTGTTGAGCATGGTAGGAGACGGCATGTTAGGTATTTGTATCATTCTAATAAAAGATCAAAAACCTCCTACAGCACATCAATAAAAATGGACACGCAAAGTAGTGTTGGGTATATATACCTGCAAGAGTCTTTACACTATGTGTTTTGTTTTTAAACCGTTAAATTAGGTATGTATTCATTAATTCAAAGCAGACTGGAAGGTTTTTAGCAGATAATCTGCAAAAGAAAGAGACAAAGTGAGTTAAGCCTTGTGCAGCTTTTTTAGGTATCTGAATATTAGTCAAGCAATTCAATTCAATTCAATTCAATTCAATTCAAATGGCTTTATTGGAATGACATAACACTGTACATATTGCCAAAGCAAGTGTTTGGAATTAAAAATAATAATAATAACAATAAAGGAAAACAATATTTACAATAAATTAATTATAATTATTATAAAATTAATTATAATATAAAACTACTCTATGACTAAAACTCTTAACTAATTGGATTTAATATTTCAGCTTATGTTTCTAAGCAAACATATACTGCCCTTTACAGTTATTGTTGTACTCTATAAAATTATAAAAGACTAAAGAAAGAAAAATATAAATTGATAAAAACATAGTCTTGTGGTTAAAATGGAATCCAAAAAAACCTGTTTATATGGATGTCTTCCTCTCTCTCAAAGGATCTTCCAAATGATCACAATGAACCTAAATGAGTGTGGGTGGATTGATGGAGCGTAACTGTTGGTATTATCTTGTCTCATTCTTTTAACCAAATGTGAGCAATTTAAACTGCAAATACACATTGTACATAACACCCCAATATAATGGTTTGTAATTAATTATCTGCATTTTGTAATTCCAGCATTATTAAATGCTTGGCAGTCGGTAGCTATACTTCCACTGCTTATTCAATCACTCAAACCATGCCACAGAAATCATCTGTGGTTGGGTTTATCACCAAAAGATTAAGGAACAAAGGATTGAATCTTTGGTAAATCAGGGATATATGCACTTTTTGTGAAATACTTATAGATATAGATTTGTGTGAATCAGTGTAATCTGTTAGTAATTCAGCTTGTGTTTGAGTTAAGCGCTAATCAGTAACTTCAAAAGATAATTAAGTATAGGGCAATGAAAGATTTATTTATGAACACTCAAAAAACAGAAACCAAAATAAAAATAAAAAAATATAGCCCAGTTTCCCCCTTGCAGAACTAGGACAGGGCCTACATTTGCGATGAAGGATTTTAACCCAGTAATGTCTTCAAAAGAACATTTTCAGATGTAGAATTTTTAGCATGATACCAAAAGTGGGACAGAATCACAAAATGTATGGAGGATGTTCAACTAAAACCAAAATAACTACAGTATATAGGTTACTGTTAAAACATGATACTAGGGTTTCCTCTGAATGTCAGCAAATTTTATCATCATGCATCAGGGCAGCTCAAAACTTTAACTTGACCTTGACACTGAGCCAAAGCCACTGATCCGTTTCCACCAAAATGATCCAGGAAATGTATGAGTCTAAGACGTCCTCCACAGCTTTTTCTCCCTGAGCACAGTCCAGCACACCTTCCCAAAATCACATCCCAGTCATGCATATGGATCAGCACCTGCTGCTATGGCAACAGACATTTCCGCTTTGCCAGCAAGGCTAGTTTGGCCAGAACTGGTCGTACCATTTAAGAAAAAAATCCTCCACATATCGCTGCTTTTCACAGTGAAATGCCACTGGGCACTGTCAAGTGCTCTCGCTGAAAAGAGCTTCAGTGGGTGAGCCATCAGCTAAGGCTGGCTGCCCTGTCAAACCCAGCCCAAAGCACTGGACTTATTAGAAACACCATGCCTCGCTAGAATTGAATAGGACTCAAAATGACAGCTCATCTACACTAGAATGCAAGGGGTTTTCATATTGGAGAGAACAGTATGAATAGACTCACTCACCTTTACTTTAGTAGATTAACTGAACTCCAGTGAGAGGAAGGGAGAGAAGTCCTGCCCGTTCGAGGACAGGCTGGGTAGAGCCTCCAGGGTCTGGATGCTACTGAATTTGAATATGTGACTATGAAGTCCTTTAGATGTATCGACAATGTATGCTTTTAAATGATGTATCTTCTGCTATGTTTTCCCAGAAGAGATATACACGTGCGTGTTGGGGTCCAATTGGACCTGGTTTCCCTTTGTCCACTCAAGCAGGGAAACAGATGTTGTCCCAGCAAATGGCTCTTTCTCCACAGGCCAAAGCAAGAAGTCTCAGAAGCAGAGCTAAGGGAGAGAAGGAGAAAAAGGAGGGAAGGAGATGTTAATAAAACTTGAAATTGCATTTGGGTCAGAGAAAAATGCCAGCAGAGAGAGTTGGAGTGGGAGATGAAGATAAAGATCAAATCAATGCAAAACTTAAATTAACTAGACAGGCTTAATTAGATGTGCATACCAAGTGCCCTTTTCCCGATTGAAAATTCTGTTTGGTCAATGCTTCCTAATATTTATTAACAAATTCCATACCAGATTATAACCAGATTGTGTCTGTTATGTATGCAGGTACTGTTTCTGTGTTTGACTGATAAACAGACAGAGAAGACAGCTTCACCTTTAAGATAAGTTCACAGCTTCACAATTTTAGGCAGGAACAGACTTTAGGATTATTGAAACCTACAAAGATGAGACACCCCACATGTGATTTATAATTTCCACCAACATAGCAGATTTGTTTTACTTTTGATAATCAAAAATAAGCACCTATTATAAGCATCAGGATAAGGGGACAACACACTGAACAACAGATTATGATTACAGTCACACTGCTGCCTGTAACCCTCTTAAAATCATGTGAGACCCCAGAAGATTATTGGAAGAAAAACAGGAGAGGATGTCCATTGAAATCTGTTTCTCTTGCACAGTTATGCAGCAATTTGTGCAATAAAAAACAGTGGAAATAGCAAATCTGGCTGAAACTGTGGTTGAAGGACACAAGTAACAACTATATGAAGTGAATCGAATTACAACTAACACCGATATAACTTTAATGGGACTTTTAAAATAGTGTTGGAACTATATGGGTAGCTTTGTGATCATGATGCAAAACTTAAAAGACAACATACATTGTCTGAAAATGTCCTTTTCCTAGATTGAAGTTCTATTGGTTCTTGCTTTGTGAGCTCCCACAGTTTACATGATGAGGGTGGGCAAGAGCAAACATCCCTGTTGCATGCCAGTCAGGACTTCGAAGGGCATCCTTCACAAAGAACTTGACATTGTATCCCTTGATAGGGGCTCTTGATGATGCACCATCAGTTTCCAAAGTGTCAACACTGTCACATGTCTTTCTCGAAGTCAATGAAATGTATATAGATGCAAGAGCTCCAATCTATGGATGATAATCCTGAGAGTGGCAAGTTGGTCTCAACAAGATCTTCTGGTCCTAAAGCCACTCTGGTTTTCCCTCAGTCCCTCAGTCTGCCTCAATGCTCAATGCCTTAATGGCCTTCCTAAATTCCATCTTCGAGGGGGGTGGTGGTTTATCTCCAGCAGGGTTTGAGCTGTTGGAATCTCTGCTATCAGTTAAGGAGGTTGACTGTTGAGCAGCTCTCTAAAGTATTCAGTTATTCTTTGAAGTTGATCTTCCTTGGAACAGTGTGAGGAGAGTACCTTTTGTGTCCGTACTGTGCACTTGTGCTTGTTTCAATTGATTGTTTTTCCTGCTGCATCCTCTGCTTGCTGTGCTAAATCCTGAATGTACTTCAATTAGTCTCTTCTGACACTTTTCTTCCTTGCTTGCTGCCTCATATTCTTTCTGTGTTGCTGCCTTATTTGTTCTAGTTATCACCCGATCAGCAGAGCGACATCATTTGTCAGTGCTTTCCAAAACTGTTACAAAGGGTTAGAGAGCAATCGTGGTCAGTTGGAAATGGGATGGGATGTTTTGTTAAACCATTCAACCACATTTCTTCTTTGCTCCAGACTGACAAGTCATAATTCCTATAGGGGCTAAAGGGCTTTGTTACTTGAATGTAAACATATGTTTACAGGACAGTCTTAAAGTCTTAAGTCAAAAACAGCACTTGTTCCAACTTTGTCTGATCTGTTGAGATACACAAATGACAGCTATAATCAGCCCTTCACCCTTTTTGCTCAACGACCTGAGGAACACGTCTCAACAATGGAGTGGGATAACCAAGGGCTCTTGTTATATGAACACACACACACACACACACACACACACACACACACACACACACACACACACATCTGCTGGGCAAAGAAAGAAGAAATGCACTTGGCCACCTCAAATGTCAGAGCACATCGACACGGGTCAGCGCCAACTCGTCTGGTTATAAAAGGGGTGGGGCCACAGCGGCATTTGAGAGATATTAAGTGGTTTCAAGAGAGAACAGGGCTGAAGATCTTTTTTCACCATCTGCGTGTAAATCCTCTGGCTTTAAGTAAAGGTTAGATGAGAGAGGGTCAGAGGGAGCGTGTGTGTGAGACAGAAAAGAGAAAGAAGAAAGGAAGGGATAAGAGGGAGGATCAGTTTGGCCGATGAAGAGAATAATAAAGTTAAATGTCAGAAACAGGAGGTTACTAACTACTGGTCTTGTGAATGTGCGGAGGTGGCACAAACAGGAATAGCACAGGGTGGAAGGTGGCAAAGAAAAAAAAAATCTAGTGAAAAATCTAGTGATCTAGTGATGAAGGGGAAAAAAAACTTCTTTAGTTTAATTGAAAATGCTGAATAAATGTGCTTTGAAAAAAAAGGAACAGAACAACAAACAACAAAGCTTCATCAAGGATCAGACTCTAGAAGAAGTGGTATAAACAGAGGGCAAATTAAAAGGGTGCTAATAAGAGAGAGAAGAGAGAGAGGTGACAGAAAGTGCATGATAGGAAAATCAGGCCAGCTTTCTCTGAACTATAGCAAAAAAGGGAGGAGACAGAGACAGCGTAGATTCAGGGCAAAATAAATGGGTGAAAATTATGTTTTGATCCACTGCAATGCCCAACAGTAAGCTTGAGGCCATAATCCATTATGTAACAGAGAAAAGGAGAAAAATGGTGCGATATGGCAGGGAAGGAAAGAAGAGTGGACAATGAAGGACAAGGCGGGTGGGGGGGTAAATGAAGTCTGGGAATGAATGAAGAGTAGGAGACTTTAGAAGTGAGAACAGCCTGATAGACTGACTAAAATGAAGATGGATCCACACAGAGAGCTATTAAATAATTGACCAAGAAGAGATGAGGCACTGACTCCACATTATGCAAAAAAGAATGGTCTGTGCCTGTGCAAATCCAAATGACACAAACAAAGAAGAGCTCAGTTGTGGTTGGCTGCACCCGGCACTAAACAAAAAGTCTTTCATGAGAGAACGAGAGGTTTTTAGCTTAACAATTTAAATTCAAAGTTTGATCCAATTGCCTGTTTTAAAACTGAGGTTCTGCTGGTTGCCGTATCTACCCTCTTTAATTGTCAACAAATCAAATCAGAGCAATTGAGTGGCTCGCTTTACACGCTCCTAACTGGCTGTTACGTGGCTCAGAGTGGTAGCATCTAAACTTCTGAAAACTGGTAATTAACTGGCATAATGTGAGTTTCATCCTCATGTTTTTGTTTGTTTGTTTTTTCATTTGGTGACACAAACCCTGTGAGGCTACTAAAGGGAAAAATCTCTTTGGTCCAATTACTCTAAATTCACATCATTTTAGCTGAAGTGTAGAAATGTTTTGCAGTGTGCATTAATGTTTAAAATATGGTTGGGAAAACAGGATTCTGTGATATAATATGTGCATTATCAATTGAAAACTCATATATAAATACTGAATATAAAATGTCATTTTATATTTATACCAATCAGCCATAACATTATGACCACTGACAGTTGTGAATAACACTGATTATCTGGTTATCATGGCTCCTGCCAGTGGTAGGGATATATTAGGCAGCAAGTGAACATTTTGTCCTCAAGTTAATGTGTTAGAAGCACAAAAAATGGGCGAAAAAATTTGAGCGACTTTGAAAAAGGACCAAATTGTAATGGTTAGATGACTGGGTCAGAGCATCTCCAAAACTGCAGCTCTTGTGGGGTGTTCCTGGTCTGCAGTGGTAAGTACCTATCAAAAGTGGTCCAAGGAAGCAAAAGCGGTGAACCGGCATCAGTGTGTATTTAGAGTTTTATTATGACTTTATGGATTGTATGTCGTTGTTGTTGAACATTGCATTTCCAAGATTTACATGTGCATTGTAAATCACATGGCATAATACCAAATGTATTCAAAGAAAATAATAAAACTTGAAGTTAAAAAGTAAAAGTATGAATAAATGAATACATGAAATTGTAAAAAGGGAACAGTATTCATTTTAGAAGTTTTGAATACCACCTTATTACAGTGTTTTATTTTTGTAGTTTTGACAATGTTTCCTTCACCCCTAACCAAGTGTTTTAGTAACCATACTTTAACCTCATTTTATTGCCTGTATTTGTATTCATGATCTGTGCCTCACTTTAACCTAGTTGGCATTTGCAGTTATTGCATGGAACAAAAAATTTAAATACATTGGCATTGCACATAACACACAAACAAACATGGTGTTATGGGGTTCACTCTGGGGTTTTGCAGAGACATCCAGCGTTTTACTGGGCCATGTCCGTCATAACCAACATTAAGCCTTCAGCAGCATCTTTGTTAGGCCACTACCTCAATGTTGCTGAGAGGCCATTGTACTTTTTTTGGTAAGTTAATTATAGGCCACATAAAGTTTTGGAGTTTAGCTAACTTTTACTTTTGTCTTATGCACACATCCCACTCTCTCTCTCTCTCTCTCTCTCTCTCTCTCTCTCTCTCTCTCTGTCTTTCATTTCCTTACTCATTCTAAATGCTTATTTGTGTGTTTGGAAAATAACTACAGCAACAGACTAACTTTATATTGTGCTGTGGGGTTTGGATAACTATTATGAACTGCAGTCCAGCCACTAATTCCTCATTTAACAGTAAAATGACTGCGGTAAGTGTAATAGGTCTGAGCTGAACCACAATTTGGTCTGACTGCATACAATGATGGATGTTTACAAGAGACTCTTTTGGTAATGATCTTACCACTAACCCTCATTTTCCAAATACGTTTAGCTAATGTGGGCGTTTGTTTATAACCTGTATGATCAGAAGTTATTTTCAGTGATGTTGCCACATTATAAGCTACAATGTTAACTTTACCAATAAGAATATTAGCCAAACTACAAATATAAGACCCATGTTGTAGTAAACCAGAATTA